TTGAGCACATTGTACCTTGGGCTGGAGCCAGTTACCGATACTGACAATCTCTCTAGCTGTCACGAGGAAGACGTCGAGACAGAGTGGTGCAGTGAGGTAGATCGGGGCGGCGAATCATGGACGTCCCCAGAGCGCAGCGAAGAGAACGAGTGACATTATTTTTTAACACCTGCTGTTCCTTCACCGTGTTCTATCAGTTTCGGCGGCAGATATTGTGCATCTGCTTTTCAAGCTTAGTTTGTAATTCCGCTGAGGTTGCACGGCAACGCCAGGGCATGCCGACGACGCAGCTGTTTTACAGCCGTGCAGCATCGGTTCGTTGAAGCCTGCATCTTTTGAATTCAGTAGCGATGAGAGCAGGACATGCTCAATCTCTGCAACCTCCTGTTTAGCCTGGCGGTTGCGCGCGGCTTCATAGGTGTGTGACGTGCGCTCATAAGGTCTATGACGCACACCTGAAGTAGACGCTTTCGAACGGCAGTGCCAGCAGCAGCACGTTCGTAACACCTGGGGGTAAGACCCTGTCTGACAGGCCTCGATTAGTGTACGAAGTTGTATGCCCACTGGTCTGGCTAATCCTGCCTTCATCCCTCTTGGTCCCTGCAGCTTGCATCGGTGGATTCTACACGTATGGCACCGCACACGGCAGCCGATTGTTAGTTTTAGTCATCCGTTCGGTTTAGCTATATGAAGACATGCTGCCTCTCGGGTCTAGGCCTAGATTTCTCGAACAGCAAGGTCGAGACCATTGGCAATATAGGTGATATTTGCACCAGCTATCCATACCAAATTCGCCAGCCGTTGGTGCATTTTTTACGTCATGTTTTCTTGTCGCGTCGATGGTCTGTAACATCATGGTCGTCCAAGATCACGGCTCCGACTTGACCATTTCTGGAAGACTGGGGTGTGGGGAACTTGTGATTGTCATACATGTCGGTTGCCCAGCAAGGCCGACATAGAGGAGGCTTGGCCTCCTTGGGGAGCTTAACGCGTAGCGGTATTAGCTTTGGCCCAGGGGTGTTGGCAGGATTTCCGCAGTTTCTAGTTGGTGCGAGCGTTTTTTTTCCTAGCGAAGCTATCGACTTCGCTCCCGCCCTCTCAATTTCACTCGCACGCTCAAGCAGTCACTCGCTCCCTCGCCCACTTGCGCTTTCTCACCCACATGCGGTCGTTATTCTTTGTCTGTTCCCCGATTTGATGTGTATTATTTATTCATATCCCTATCTTTGCCCCTTTCTCTCTAGTATCTTTGCATATATATATATATATATTTATACATATTTGTGTATGTATGTGTATATGTATATGTATATGTAGACGTATATGTACATGTAAATGTATATGTACATGCATATGTATATGTATATGTATATGTATATGTGAATGTATAGGTATATGCGTATCTTGTGTTGTGTTTATATGTATACAAATAGTTATATATGAGTATATGGATAGGTCTATGCACATGCAATTGTAGTTGTATATGTGTGTGTAGGTGTACACACATACATATATATAGGCATATGCGTAAATCTGTATGTATACGCATGTATGTGTATATGCACGTGTATATGGATTCGCATGCAAATGTGCATAGGCATATGTATATGTATATGTAACTGTAGAGGTATATGTACATGTATATGTATATGCTCATGCATATGGACAGGTATGTGTATCTGTACATGTTTATGTACATGCAAATGCATATGTATATGTATATGTATATGTATATGTATATGTATGTCTCTACGTCTATGCACAGTTATGTGTATATGTAATGTAATTGTAAATGTATATGTACGTGTATATATACATATATATGTAAGTGTATATGTATGTGTATATGTATATGTATGTGTATATGTATATGCACATGTCTGTGGATATGTACATGTATATGTAACTGTATGTGTTACTATATGGGTATATGTAAATGTGTATGCATATGTTTATGTATACGTATAGGCATGTGTATATGCATGGGTATATGTATGTGTATTTGTATGTGTATGTGTATGTGTATGTGTATATGTTTATGTTTAGATTTATAGATGTATATGTATTTATATATATATTCATGTGTGTGTAATTGTATATATAGATGTATAGGTATATGTATATGTACATGTATATGCATATGTATATGTGTAGGTACATGTATGTGTATATGTATATGTGTATGTATATGCATGTGTAAATGTATATGTGTATTCATGTGTACATTTATATGTATATGCATATGTATGTGTATGTGTATGTGTACGTGTGTATGTATATGTATATGTTCATGTATATGTATATGCATATGTATATGTATTTGAATATGTATATGTATATGTATCTGTATATGCATTTGCATATGTATATGTATTTGTATGTGTATATGTATTTGTATATGTATATGTATATGTTTATGCATGTGTACATGTATATGTGTATGTATGTACGTGTATTTATACATATAGGGTATACACATATATATATATATATATATATATATATATATATATATATATATATATATATATATATATATATATCTAGCTTCCGGTTGTGTTTTCACTTTTGTCCGTAGCACCTGGCTCAAGGAGTTCGGGGATTCCCTGTGCTCGAGGAAGCGTCCGACGTACCCCTCGGCCCGCGCGCGCTCCCCGCTTGCGCGCTCCGCGGCGACGAGCGTTCAGGCGCCCTGGCCTTCCCTCGGCCGCCGTCACGACGACGACGGCGCCGACAGGTATGCCAGGCCCCGCGGCCTCTCCCCCCTCCCTGCCCTCTCTTCCCTCTGCCCCCCTTCCCGCCCCCCCCCCGTCCACGCGGGTGCCCAGCCGCCGCCGCGGAGGCCCCCGCCTCAGTTGCGGCCCCTCGGTCTGACTCTGCGTGGCCTCGCCTGGGGCACCCGCCGAGGTGCGCCTGCCTGGTGCTGCGCGGCCTGGCCGGGAACCCTGCAGGCAGCCCGGCCTCCTCGGCAGCCCCAGCGGCCTCTGGGGCTGCCACGCGGCACTGGCGCTGCGCGGCTCAGCCTGGCCTGCTGCTGCTGCTCCATGTTGAACTCGACGAGGCGATCACTGCATATCATTCCGCGACCTGGAGGCGCGCCCATCGCGGCCACGCTCATTTTGTGTCGTGTTCAGTTCCCTGGTATTCTGCGCGTCCCGCGCACATCGCCAATGTGTAGGCCCTTTTGATCTGCTGCCGTCTCCTCCTACGTTGAGTTCAACAGCCGACATTGGCCCTGGCCGCTGCCTAGCGTGCCTCCCGATTCTGTTTTCATGTGTCTTTCTTTTTACTTGTGGTTACGTTCTCTGGATTGCGGTCTAGGGACGTGTGTGGTTGTCCCCCCTGTTGGACTATCCTGGCACACGCATGGCTCATTTCCTCACCTAGGATTTGCGGTATATTTGCGGTCGCTCTGACAAATCCGAGTACTTAGCCTGGGGCCAGCAACCCCCGAAGTTCTTCACGGCCTGAGGGCGCTCTGGATGTCCTCCCCTTCCTCCCTTCATGCCCTTCCCTTCCTGCGCGCCTAATTCGCTCCCGTCGCGCCCCGACGATCGCCGACCGACTGCTGGATCTTCACGCTTGTTTTTTTGTTACCAGCGTAGCAGTCTCTCTATCCCTTCCACATATACCACACATATATATATGTATAGATATATGTGTGTGTATATATATGTATATATATATATATATATATGAAAGAGCGTGTTCTACCGCTGCTGGTGGAAAACCGGGGGGGGTCACTACCGGTTCGAACCCCTCCCCCCCCCCTCCGGAAAACCGGGGGGGGTCACTACCGGTTCGAACCCCTCCCCCCCCCCCAGTTCATCATGAAAAGGGGGGGGGGTCACTACCGGTTCGAACCCCTCCCCCCCCCCCCTCGAAAACCGAGTGGGGGTGCGGACAGTGGTGGGGACGGTGTTGGTGGGGACAGTGGTGAGGGGACAGCGGGACAGTGGTGGGGACGGCGGGGGGACAGTGGGACAGTGGTGGGGACGGTAGTGGTGGGGACAGTGGTGGGGACAATGGTGGGAACAGGGGGGACAGTGGACAGTGGTGGGAACGGTGGTGGTGGGGACAGTGGTGTGGGGACAGTGGGAATGAGGTGGAAACACTGGGACAGTGGAGGGTACAATGGTGGTGGGGACACTGGTAAAGGCGGTGGCGAGGACGGCGGTGGGACAATGGGACAGAGGTACAGTGGGGACAGTGGTGGGGACAGTGGGGACAGTGGTGGGAACAGTGGGACAGCTCAGTGGGACAGCGGAGGAGTGGGGACAGCTCAGTGGGACAGTGGGGACAGTGGGGATAGGCAGTGGTTGGGTCCGTGGAGACAGTGGGGAGAGTGGAACCGTGGTGGGAACAGTGTGGTAACAGTGGGGACAGTGCGACAGTGGTGGGGGCACTGGTGGGGACAATAGGGACGGTGGTGGAACCAGTGGGGACAGTGGTGGTGAGGACAGTGGTGCTGGGAACACCAGTGGGGGATGTGATGCGGACGGTGGTGGGGACCGGGAGTCGTTTGCTGGCGGTGAGTAGGAGGGGGGGGGGTTCGAACCGGTAGTGACCCCCCCCGGTTTTCCGGATCCGAGGGGGGGGGGGGGGGGGGAGGGGTTCGAACCGGTAGTGACCCCCCCGGTTTTCGAAGGGGAGGGGGGGGGGGGGGAGGGTTAGGGGGGGGGGGGGGGGTTTTGCCGGGGGAGAGGGGGGGGGGGGGGAGGGGTTCCAGCAGGGGGGGGGGGATTTTCGGAGGGGGGGGGGGGGACCCCCGGGTTCCGGAGGAAAAGGTTGGCAATTTTCCACAGTAAAGCGGCGGTGGATCACGCTCTCTCATATATATATATAGATGTGTATATATACATATAGGTATATGAGTACGCATGTGTGTACGTGTGCCTGTCTGTCTGTCTGTCTGTCTGTCTGTATGTCTGCATGCATGCGTGTCTGTCTGTATGTATGTATGTATGTATGCATGCATGTATGTATGTATGTATGTATGTACGTATTTACATGGCTATGCATGTTTCTACATATACTTAGACATACATACATGCATGTATGCATGCATACAGCCATACATACATACATACATACATACATACATACATCCATACACGCATACCTACATACATACATACCCATCTCGATTTGTATGTATATAGGTATAAAAACACATATTTGTAGACATCCATCTGCATATATGTATGTATGTATGTATGTATGTATGTATGTATGTATGTATGTATGTATGTATGTATGTATGTATGTATGTATGTATGTATGTATGTATATAGAGAGAGAGAGAGAGAGAGAGAGAGAGAGAGAGGGCGAGAGAGGGATGTAGAGAGAGAAGGAGAGAGGTATTTATGTATGTATGTATGTATGCATGTATGTATGTATATATATACACATACATGGATAAATATATCGCACCGAGCCAGCAGCTTTGACCCTATAGTGCAGGGGCCCTGCGGGGTGGGATCCAGGGGCCAGAAGGGCGCTCCCAGGATCGTTTGTGGAATTTGCGGGATACCCCAAACACTTCCGAGAAGTCCAAGGAGCCCCCAAATAGCCCGCGAGGAGGCTGAAGAGGGCCCCCCCGAGGCCTTCAAAGCATCCCAGGCGTACGCGGCAGAGGCCCCAGACAGCCAGCGTGCATTGATTCCCCGTACGCTTTCCAAGGAATTTAAACATCCCGTCATTTCGAATGTCAGTGCGCCCAGAATGGCCCAAGAAGGCCCAAGAGGTCTCCGAGATCGCCGTAGGACGGCCCAAGACGCCTCCAACTCAGTCAAGTGACCGTGCGCACAAGAGGTCCTCAAGGCTGCCCAAATTGGCTCCAAGGCGTTGGATGATGCATCGCGCCCTGGTCGGTCCTGTGCTCTCCCGTCTTATCGTCCTGCCAGATGCTGGCTAGGGTGCTCAGTGCAACTCCCTGTCCAGGTCCTTCTCGCGTTTTTTCCCCAAGCAGCTTGCTGAACGGGGTGCTGTTGTGATAGAGGCTAGTTCTGGCCGAGGGAGGCCGACATCCTCCAATAAATTGTGTGGTCTAGGTCGTTTCGCTTGAGACATCATCCTCACAACTCTCGTCTCCGAGTTGTCCAGGATCGGGCGTTTCGTCTGAGACATCCTCGAACATCGGAGCTCCCAGATTCAGCGCGAGAGGTGGTCCGGCGCGTTTCGCCTGAGACATCCTTGCAACTCTGGGCGCCGAGATGCTGCGCGAGAGGTGGTCCAGCCCACTCTGCCTGAGACATGCTCACAACTCTGGGCTTCGAGATTCCGCGAGCGAGGTGCGTTTCGCCTCGAGACATCCTCGCAATCCTGAGCTCCGAGATGATGCGCGCAAGGTGGTCTGGCGCGTTTCGCCTGAAACATCTTCGCAAATTTGGTCTTCCAGGTGCCGCGCGAGAGGTGTTATGGAGCGCTGCGCCTGAGGCATCCTCGCAATTCTTGGCTTTGAGATGCTGCGCGCGAGGTGTTCCAGTTCGTTTCGCCTGAGACATCCTCGCGAGTCTGGGATCCGAGATGCCGCGCGCGCGGTGGTCCAGCCCGTTTTGCTTGAGACATCCTCGAAAGTCTGGGCTCCGAGATGTCCGCGCAAGGTGGTCTGGCGCGTTTCGCCTGAGACATCCTCGCAACTCTGGGCCTCGAGATGCCGCGCGAGAGATGGTCCGGCCAATTTCGCTTGAGACATCCATATGACTTTGGGCTCCGACATGCTGCGCGCAAGGTGGTCTGGGGTATTTCGCCAGAGACAATCATGCAACTCTGATCTCTGACATGCTGCGCGCGAGGTGGTCCGGGGCGCTTCGCCTGAGACATCCTCGACTTTTTAGATTCCGAGAGGGAGGAGGGAGGAGGGGTCAGACCCAAACAAATCATTTGATGATTCATCTGTCATCGAATTGTGCTCTTGGAAGGGTCTAGGCACCACCTGGTCCATCCTCGCATGTCGCGCGAGAGGTGGGCCAGCGCGTTTCGCCTGAGACATCCTCGCAATTCTGGGCTTCGAGATGCCGCGAGCGAAGTAGTCTGGCCCGTTTCGCCGCAGATATCCTCGGAACTCTGGGCTCCAAGACGCCGCGAGCCAGGTGGTCTGGCCCGTTTCGCATGAGACATCCTCGCCATTGTGGGCTCCGACATGCTGCGCGCGAGGTGGTCTGGGGCGTTTCGCCTGGGACATCCTTACAACTCTGGACTCCGACATGCTGCGCGCGAGGTGGTCTGGCGCGTTTCGCCTTGGGCATCCATTCAACTCTGGGCACCGACATGCTGCGCGCGAGGTGGTCTGAGGCGTTTCGCTTGAGACATCCTCGAAACTTCGGTCTCCGAGAGGGACGAGGGAGGGCGGAGGAGGGGTCAGACCCAAACGATCCATTTGATTCCACTTCTGTTGGCAAATTATGCTCTGGGAGGTGTCTGGGCGCCGCCTGGCTCATCCTCGCAGCTCTAGGCTCCGAGATGTTGCGCTCGAGATGCTCTGGCCCGTTTTGCCAGAGACATCCTCGTAGCTCTGGGCTTCGAGATGCCGCGCGCGAGGTGGCCCAGTCCGTTTCGCTTGAGACATCCTCATGTCGGGGCTCCGAGAGGCCGCGCGCGAGGTTGTTTGGCTCGCGTCGCCTGAGACATCCTCGCACATTTGATCTTCCAGATGCCGCGCAGGAGGTGGTCCGGGCCGTTTCGCTTGAGATATCCATGCAACTCTGGGCACCGACATGCCGCGCGCGAGGTTGTCTGGCCCGTTTGGCCGCAGACATCCTCGCACCTCTGGGCTCCAAGACGCCGCGTGAGAGGTGGTCTGGCCCGTTTCGCCTGAGACAACCTAGCAACTCTAGGCACCAACACGCTGCACGCGAGGTGGCCTGGCGCGTTCCCCCTGAGACATCCTCGCAACTCTCGGCTCCGATATGCTGCGCGCGATGTGGTCCAGCGCGTTTCGCCTGAGACATCTTCGAAATTTTGGGCCCCGAGACGGAGGAGGGAGGGCGGAGGAGGGGTCAGAGCCAAGCGAACTCGATTACTCTTCTGTTGTCGACTTGTGCTTTGGGAGGGGGGCGCCACCTAACCCATCCCCGCAACTCTGAGCTCCC